GTGCGCCCGCGGCCTGCCTCCTCCTCCTCCTCCTCCTCCTCCTCCTCCTCCTCCTCCTCCTCCTCCTCCTCCTCCTCCTCATCATCATCATCATCATCATCATCATCATCATCATCATCATCATCATCATCATCATAGATCCTCAGACTCCCCCATCGCTCTGCCCTGCCCCTCCTCCCCCCCCCCGCCCCCTCCCCCTTTCTCACCCTCCGCTGCCTGTCCTCCAGACCACCCCCCCATCATCCCCTTGACCCCCTCCTGCTCTCCCCCCCCCCTCGGCCACCTCCCGCTGCTCGCCCTCCTCCGCGGCTTCCTCCCCGCGCAATGGTGGTTTCCGGCGGGCCGCCTGGCGGCTTCCTCGCAGCGGTCTCCTTCTCCTCCCTCTCGGAGTGCGGGGGGGGGGACCTCTGCGTCGGCCGGGCTTTTGCCAGTCTTCGGAGCTGGAGGGGCATGGCCGGCTCGACAAAATCGATGCGGACAGTTCTTCACCGTGTTGGACGCCGCTGGGCTCCGGGGGGCCGTTTTGGGGCCTCAGGACCATGAGAAAACGATCGTGGGCGAGAAACCGGCCCCAGGGAAGAGGTCGAGAGGTCCAGCGGTGGCCTGTTTCCAAAAAACCAAGCCGCTGGATGTCTGGGGGGAGGGACCCGGAAGGGATGAGGGGATAGGTGTTGCCAACGGTGCTCCCGGGCCCAAGGCGCCCCCAGGATGTCCTGGGAGGCCCAGACGGCTCCCCGAGCACGCCTCACGAAGCCCAGAGGGCCCCAGGGGCTCCAATACGGCTTGAAGATATGAGGGCGTCTCGGGCCAGGAACACACTTGCCCCCCCCCCCCCCCCCCTGCAAGGAGAAGCGGAAGAGGAGGACTGAGGTGTCAGGAAGACGGCGGTGGTGATGGATGTGGTAAGGATGATTCGCACTATTCGGAGAAAGCAGAGGAGGAGGAGGAGGAGGAGGAGGAGGAGGAGGAAGTTACAGCTAATAGGAGTAATAAAAAAACGAGTTTTGACGGGGTGCCCTTTATGCTCTTCGTGTCTGCACCTTGGAATGCTCCTCGCTCTGGGCATCTCTCCACGAGGCCCTGGGCCTTCGGCACAGGGGGTCGTGCCCGTAATCCACGCTGATGTGGCATGCTTCGACCGTAGGATGACGAAGAGGATGAGCAGGAGGAGGAGGAGCAGGACCAGGAGAAGGAGGAGGAGGAGGAGGAGGAGGAGGGCCCGCCCGCACCCCGCCCTCGCTTTGCTGACCTGGCCCTCCACGGTCTTCGACCTCGACGGCACGCTGCTGGACACGGAGGAGGCGACCTGCAGGTACATCGCATCGCTCCTCCAGCCGCACGGCCTCGAGTGGACCTTCGTGGTCATCGCCGTCGCCGTCGTCACCGCCCACGTCGTCGTCGTCCCCGTCGTCGCCGTCGCCGTCGCTGTCGCCATCGCCGTCGCCGTCGCCGTCGCAGCCACTGTCGCCGGCATCGTTGCCGCGGTCGCCGCGGTCGCCGTCGCCGGCGTCGTCGGAGTCGTCGTCGTCGTCGGCGTCGCCACCGCGGGAGGGAGGCGGAGGTCTGCGGCCCGAGGGCCGTGCCTGAGTGGTGATCCACGGCCACGGCCTCGTTCCATTAGACAGGCATCTTCAAGAATGCGAGGCGGAACCACTCGTGGTACCGGGCGTCCAGTTGTTCCTCCATCCCTGGCGCGACTGCTAGGAGCAACCTCGCAGTCTGGATGCCCCCTCCACTCGTACCTCAAAGATCCTCACTGTCATGGACAGAGTGAGGGCCCCGCGTGCCACGTGCCCTGCCAGGCTGGCGCTTTACCGGTTGCCCGCTGCCGGCTTCTGGGAAAGAGTGCGCTCGAGTGCTGGGTCGCTTCGCCAATCCAGGCCCAACCACTTGCGCGTGCAGGTGTAGTGGACCTCGATCGGATCCTTCATGCACAGATTCACAGGCAGCGGTGGCCACGGGGGGGGCGCGGCACGATGGCAGCGTGCTCGTCTGGCCTGGTATGTAGAGAATGTTTCGTGCTCCCATGACTGGAGGGATTTTCCGAAGGGCTTAGGCGACCCCTCCTCCTCCTTCTCCTCCTCCTTTTCCTCCTCCTCCCTCCTCCTGCTCCTCCTCCTCCTCCTCCTCCTCCTCCTCTCCTCCTCCTCCTCCTCCTCCTCCTCCTCCTCCTCCTTCCCTCCCCCACCTCCCCCACCTCCTCCCTCCTCCTCCTCTCCACCTCCCCCACCTCCTCCTCCTCCTCCTCCTCCTCCTCCTCCTCCTCCTCCTCCTCCTCCTCCTCCTCCTCCTCCTCCTCCTCCTCGGGTCGCCCACGGCCCCGGGGAAAACCATGCACCCATGACCACTAAGGCAGCATGTCCAGGGATTGCTGGGCCCCTCCCCAAGAGGATGATAGCAGCACAGGGCCATCCGCATGGGGTATGGCCGCCGGCCGCAGCGGGGCCGCGAGATCCATGGCCCGCAACGGTGACGCCCCCAGGCCTGGAGAGACGCTATGAAGTTCAGGAGTCGGGAGGGGTTCGCTTCCATTGAGCGCAATGACCATTGTCGCTCTGAATAAACAGACCGACCCTGCGCCTCATTACAGGGGGGTGGCGCATTCCGTTTGCACTGGTTGGCGCTGCTGCGATTGACCGTTCAGCTGGGCATAGTTGGCGGGCGCGTTGTGGTTGCTGTGTGGGGGAAAAACAAAAAATGAGCGCAATGACCAGGCGGCGCACGAGCTCCTGATGCGGGGTGCCAGAATCCAGCCAGACGTGGTTGGTTGTTCCAGGCCTCTGGGATGGTGACGCCGATGCCTACGCCTTGTCCTGCTGCGTGTACTTCCCCGGCCGATTCTTCCATGTAAATCGGGAAGGTAAGTGGTCCGATCACACCTCCCTCAGCTAATCATTCTTTGCGTTGCGTCACGACTACGGTACCATGTTTGCCCCGTTGATGAAAACGTGAGCATGGTCCTCGTCGAAGATGCTTCCCAGTAAAGCAAGGGCTCCATCACGCACGCCCCCCCCCCCGGTAGATAGGGATTGCAGGAGGTTGTTTCTCCACGTCCGAGGGAACGACTTCTGGATGTCCTCGAAGATTGCACATCTTGCCCGCTTGTCGTGCACGTCGACGGACAGACCTCGTGCGACGGCTGGCGTGCATCTTCTACATCACGGACGTAGCCCCTCTGGCCTTGGACGACCCGTTCCCCGATGCCGTCCCCGAGCCTGTGGAAGGCCAAACCTGCCTGCAGGAATCCCAGTGGAGAATTTCATCAGGATTCAACGGCAGCTGTCTCCGAGGTCGGAAGGCCCAGCTTTGTGCCGTGCGACAGCGCAGCTGCCTCTCCAGCTGCGCGGCCTGACGGCCCAAGCACCAGGCTCGGGGTGAGCTTCATGAGAGGCCACACTGCCCCGACGGGGCGCTCCTCCACCGCCTGCAGGACCGGCCTCGGGGTGAGATCCGGCGTGGTCGCAGAGGTGGCAGATGGGCCCCCCCAGGCCCCGACCAGCGAGCAGCACTTTGCCTGGGAGATGGTAGCGTCGAAGGCGCCGCGGCCTCGGTACGTCCTGGCAGCGCCAATGACACGCGGGATGGTGCTTGCGAGGAAGTGATGCAAAGCCTCTTCCCATGGAACCGGCCGCCCGCTCAGCTGCTCTATCTGCCTGCACCATTCACGGACTGTCGCAGAAGGCGATAGAGATTTGTCTCCCTGGCGCAAACAGGATTTGGGCGTATCGCGGCGGAGTGCAGGATCCTGCTACAGCGAGGTCCGCGAGCGCCTGCGACAGGCAGAGAATAAGCGTCTGTGTCCATGGGCTGGCACACAATTGCTCCAAGGCGGCCGTTAAGAGTTGAAGGCAGGGGCCTGCTGCTTGCAAGCCAAAGGTCCAAGCTTCAGTGGCGTGCCACCACCTGGGCATTTGCAGTGCCCCTGGCGCAACTTCCCGCATGGATCCTGCTATCGGCAGAGATAACTCTGGCAGGACATTGTCGCCTTCTCGTGCATTCCGTACAAAGGGGCCACTTGCAAGGCCTGTCGACCAACTCCTCGCAGCCGTGCTGGTCCGCCGAGTCTCGCCTGTGCGAGCACTGGATACCGTTGTGCACGACCGCTGGCATGGTTATGTCTGCAGTAGCTATGAAGAGATCGAAACATCTAGGACTACCACTGCCATGATGTGTGCGGCCAGCTTGTAGCAGCAATGATTTTCCCCAAAGGGGTAGCGTGACCTCATGGCCGTCACCTGTGCCCATCCATGGGTTCAGACGGCGGAGTCCCCAGACCGAGAGCAGGCGATTGAGGGCTGCATCACGGCCAGGGACTCGATCAGAGAAGCTTGCAATGATCGTCGTCTGCATATCGAAGTTGCCCATGATAAGTGTGTCTGTGTGTGTGTCGCTTGTCGTCGCCGTCGTGGAGGCCCAGGAGCTCGGCCTGCCACTCGGTGTCTGGCGCCTGGCGGCGAGCAGGTGGGAGATACACGACCGCAACCCGTAGGTGGCCATGCACTACCGGGCACTAACCAGAAGCGTCTAGACAAGTACATGTTGCGGAATTGCGAGGTCCTCGGCAAGTTCCGTTTATTCCAGATCACCGTTTTCTTTGCGTACGACTTTCCCCCACTGCGCAGAAGCCGAAGATGTCGCTGTGGCTGGCCGGCAGTTGAGTGGAAGTTGGTGCACGAGCTCCGGGGAGACCGAAGAACACGAGTCCTGGCTGTTTGATGGTTTCGAATGCGCCCGACTGCGGATCCAGGAGAACTGGCCAGCGAAAGCTGCGTCCATTCACGGTCGAAATCCTCATGGTGTTCGGGGAGCCTACTGCGAATTTGAGCTCGCACTCATTCGCTGTCCTGGCTGCTGTCTGTTGAGACCTGGTGCCAAAAGGCAGCTGCGCATGCGCTTCCCATTCCAAAGCCGTGCTCAGGGTACGAAATCCGACGTGTAAAAATCCTGGGAGTGCAGTGGCATGAAGCTGATTGCGGAGTCAACCTCTGTCGTTCTGCATGGACTCTGCGCCAGCAGCGAGGAGGATTATCAGCATGCTCTCGGCCTGTGGACTGTCGGGGGGGGCACCTTGATGTCTCTCCCCCGGGCCAGGTGTGCAAGATCCCGTGTAGCTTTACGTCAGCTCTCTAAGTGCGAGCCCGACCTGAGTACAGCTGCGCCCGCTCTCCTCAGGCAGCCTTGTTGAGCCAGATCGGCCACGGAGCAGATGGTGAGGGGGGCGAAGAGGAGGACGAGGAGGGCGATATGGGGGTTGATGGGAAAGGGGGGAGGCGGAGGAGGAGGAGGAGGAGGCGGACGAGGGGGAGGAGGAGGGCGAGGGGGAGGAGGGGGACGAGGGGGGGGGGGAGGGGGTGGGAGGCCATGCAGTCTCCCACCGGATCGCCAGACATCGCCACCTGGGGTCGAGAGCTCCACGCCAGTCACGGCACACCCGCGGAGCAAGCCGACTGAGTCGAGAGGAGGAGGAGGAGGAGGAGGAGGAGGAGGAGGAGGAGGAGGAGGAGGAGGAGGAGGAGGAGGAGGAGGAGGAGGAGTGGGGCCCCACGCACCACCGACTGAGCACCACGCACACACCGACGCACCACAGAGCACCGCGCACCGCCGATGGAGTCGAGAGCTCCCGTCGCGGAGAACCGCGACGGGGGAGCTCGAACGGCCTCCCCCCCAGCGCCTAGACGCGGAAGCCCACGGGGTGGGCCGGGAGCCGGCAGGAAAGTCCGCCCGCGCTGCGCCGCGGCGGACGAGTCGCCGAAAGCTCCCCAGAGATCCAACGCATTGACAAAAATCTCGACGGACGTTTTTCGCAATTTTCGGCCTCCAGGGGCCCTCACCGGGCCGCGGGACCGTCAAACAACGACGCAGGATGACAGACTGGTCCCGGGGAAGGGGTCGGCACTTCCGGGGACCCCGCACTGAAAAGATCACGACATCGGACCTCTGGGCCTGTCAGGCACCCTAGGAACCCACGCAGGCCGAAGCGAGGCCTGGCCGCGGCAGCAGCAGCGACGGCCACGGCGAAGACGAAGACGGGCCCAGAGGTCCGAGGTCGTGATCTTCGTCAGTGCGGGGTCCCCGGAAGGGCCGACCCATTGCCCAGGACTGGTTTGTCATCCTGAGTCATTTTTTGACGGTCCCGCGGCCCGGTGAGGGCCCCTGGAGACCGAAACTTGCGAAAAACGTCCGTGGTGTTTTTTTCAATGCGTTGGATCTCTAGGGGCTTCCTCCGGAAGCGGGCGACGACCCCCCGAAAAATCCCCGACGACCGAGGCATCCTCGCGGGAGGCCTCCTGCCTGGGGCCACCAGTGGCGCCTCAGAAGTGCTCCCGACGCCTCCGAGGACCGCCAGGGGGGGGGGGGGGGGCAGGCAAGTGCCGAGAGCCTCCTGAGAGCAGCCGGGCGCCCGAAGCCCGCCGAGACCCAGCGAGGACCTCCAGCGGCCCCAGGGGAGAGCTAAGTCGGGCCCGTCCCTCTACAGGGGGAGTACTCCAAAATAGTCAAAAAAGTATTCTGGGCACGATGTTCTGAACATTTGTTGACCATTTGGGTGTATGTTTGTTTCTATGTTAATGTTTTCGTCCAAAATCCCCCTGTAGGGGGACAGGCCCGACCTAAACCCAGCGAGGACCTCCAGCGGCACCAGAGAAGAGCCAGGGAGGACCGCGAGGGCCGAGGACCCCATAGGGGCGGCCACGGCGAGCCTGTCCTCGGAAACTGGAACATATACATTACCAGTGGCGGGTCGTTTTTCAAATCCACGACTGCTAACAAAAAGCATTGTCGGAAACTGGAACATGTACATTACCAGTGGCGGGCTGTTTTTTTCAATCCCGGCACTTTTTGAGGGTCGGGGACGACGTCGGGGTGGTGTGGTGTATATTTTTGCTCCCTTTTCCAAGGGAAACGACGAACAATATATACACCAGGATCCCGTATGCACCAGGATCCGCGTTCCTGTGCGAATTACAGCGCAGGTTCGGAAAAAGCGTCGGTGTATAGAGTTCGTGTCCCTATCTCCAGGAGCCACAAGGGGGGCCGCCGGGATGCCGCGGAAGACGGGCCGAGCGCTGCGGAGGGCGCGGAGCTCCCCCGATTGGAATGGAGGTGTCAAGAGCCCAGAGATCCAACGCATTGAAAAAAATCTCGACGGACGTTTTTCTCCCTTTTCGGCCTCTCTGGGGCCCTCACCAGGCCGCGGGACCGTCAAAAAACGACGCAGGATGACAGACCGGTCTTCCAGGGAAGGGGTCGGCCCTTCCGGGGACCCCGCACTGACGAAGACCACGACCTCGGACCTCTGGGAGAGCCCCACCACGGCGCCGGGGGTCGAGAGCTCCGGGCCCCCTCTCCAGCTCCCCACAGGGGCGGGCGCCACCCAGGCGCCGGAGGAGGGCGCCGGCCGAGGCGAGGAGGGCCAAAAGGGTCGGCGACAGGAGCCCCTCAGCGCATCGAAAGCCCGAGGCAGACTGCGACGACGGCTCCACGAGAGCGCGAGGAGGAACAGGGAGAGAGGCAGAAAGTGTGGGTGGGAGGGGAGGGCGGGGGCAGGGGAGTTGAGCGAGGGGGAGCGGCAGGGAAGGGGAGGCGGGGGGGCCAGCCCGTCCGGTCTCGTCCGTTCCTGATGGGAGGGAGTGGCCGAGGAGGGGCAGGCGAGGGGGCCGGCTTGGCCCGTCCGGTCTCGCCCTTCCTTGGCTGGAGCACTACATTTCTCCTCCCGTATCTGCGCTTCAGTATTAGACTCGCAGGAGCAAGGGTTCCCTGGTCTGGCGCGCAGGCTCTCCGTGAATAAACACAGGCTGGTGGAGCGGAGCTTGGCCACGGCCTGGGCGGGCGGGTGCCCGGGGCCCTCCAAGCTTCCACCGACGCGAGGAGGATTTCTTTTGAATCATCTGTCCCGGCGTTGATGTGGACTTTGCCACCCTGGTCTTGCAGGTAAGCAGGAACTGAACCCTTTTCTTGCCTGGCTGGAAAAGTATCCCCGTGGGGGCTCCGCCCGACATGAGATACTTCACTGGGCGCCCCTCCCCTCTTGCAGGGGAGGCGCTGGGGACCACGTTTTGGCCCAGTGGAGCACCACGGGGACCCACCGATCCCACCTCTTAGGGTCCTTCGGCGGGCCCTCTGCACCCCCCCGAGGCCTTGGGTCAAAACCAGGGAAAACGTGTTGCCTGTTCTTGGCGCGGCCTGCTGCTGCTGGCGTTGCGGCGCGGCTGCGGCAGCGGCGGCTGTGGCGGTCGGAGCCTGCGCAGGCGTCTGCCCAGCTAGCGCGAGCTGCAGAGCAAGCTGCTCCGGCGTGAGGTGGCAAAGGCCCAGGCAGCCAGACTCTGGTCCTCATCGACCTCTGCCGCGGCTGACACCGCGAGCCCCGCAGCCTGGCGCTGCCACCCGCCTGCCGCGCCCGCCGCCTCGTAGTAGACCTCTGGCTGCGCGGTTGCAGCTTGCTCCATGGCCAGGCCGCGCTGCTCTCCTGCCTCGCTTTGTGGAGGACGATGAATGTAGAGGAAGCATGTTGCCTAATTAATTTCCAGATGGCTAAAACATGGGTTACATGTTAACACATGTAAGGAAATGTTTGAAACATGTTTAGAACATGTTTCCGACACTTCAAACACATTTTAGTTTCAACGATAGGACTGTTAGGGTGTCCATTGTCGTGGCATCCACAAGCCTCGCTCCCGGCCGAGAAAAGGAACCAGGGTTGCGCGGCCGCGGGCGGCGCTCCAGCTATACTCTGCTGGTCTGCTGCGCTCGCAGCAGCCGGGTGGACTGCGGCGCCCTTGGGTGTCCCGGGTCCTCCCGCCTAGCTCCGTTCTCTGGCTCTGCACGCTGTGTGGTGGGGAAGCCCCTGGTGCGCTGGGGCAGCCCAACCCCGCCTGGGGGGTTGCTGCCAGGCCGCTGCGCCCGCGGTCGGGTAACAGCGCTCCGGCTGCCCTGCTGCTATTTGCCCTCCGTCAAGACCTCCTGTAGCGCCCGAGGTTGTGCCGAAGTTCCCCGCCGCCGCGGGACGCCAGGGTTGCCCGCTGGCCTGGCTCTGCTGGTCCGTCCGCCGCATCCACGGCGCGAGCTTGCTTGGCTGCTCCTGGGGCGCTGCTTTAGGTCGGGGCAGCCCTGACCTCGGGCGCGGGATGCGACTCTGCGCCTGGGGCTCTGTTTTCGGCCTGGCTTCTGGGCGGGGTCCCTGTGCTTCTCCTGTGCGGTGCACGTCTCCTTCTCCAGTGGCTTCCATCTCCAGGGGGTCCATGAACACTTGGGGGTCTCGTCGGTGCTGCCTCAGCGCTTCCTTGACGTACTCTGGAAGCCTCTTCCATTCCATGTTGACCCTGACCGTGTTCTGAAAGAGTGTCTTTTGGTGGCACCCCGTAGGGTTGGCTGCATGTTGCTCACAGGCTTTGGCATGGAATTGCCCTCGCAATTCCTCATTCCTCATTATACAATCTCCCGCCGCCAGCTCGATCAATGCATGGTTGCGTATTTACGTTGGCTCACTGGCGGAGGCGCCTCAATGGGTGATTGTGACGTGTCGGTTGCCCAGAACCGCAGGCTGAACCCACAACCGCAGGAGGAGGAGGGAAGGACAGGTTCTGACCTCTGTCCCGGCCCGACCCGCCCCATCGCATTACGTAGGCTGGCTCAGCACTTCGGCGCTCGATCCACCAGGGGCGCTGCGCTGGCTCACGGGCCCCGGATGTGAGAGGCCGGAGGGAGGAAGGGTGGACGGATCGACTACACGTAAGAGTGACCCTTCGCCGGGGTGACCTTTTGGTGCGGGCTCATCGGGCTTACCCCGATCGCCGAGCACGAGGCGATATGAGCGGCCCACGCCCTTGGGTTTGGCTCCCTCGCGCCCCCAAAGCTGCGCACCAAAGGTCACTCTTACCCAGGGTCACTCTTACGTCTAGCCGAACGGAGGGGGAGAGGCGCGGGCTCGCGGGAGGGGGGGGGGGGGGGCGTCCAGAGAGGAGGGAGGGGAGCCCGTCAGGTCAGGGGAGGGGGGCCTGGCATG